AGTATTAAAAAGTGCTCAATACATGTGTAAGAAAACAAGATTAAAACTAACATGTAGAGCTTTTAACTTTAGAAATCAGGTCAGTTGAATCTACTTTGATTTCAACCTTACAGTATACTCAGGCGATTTTTTATCAAATGACCACCTGTGTGGAATTTAAAATGAAAAAACAACCAGGTATCCATTGAAAAGGTGGAAAATTTTGCAAAAATCAAACCTTTTAAACCAGAAATCCGAAGTCTTAAGCCCTTGCTTACATATCAGTTTTAACCAGGATGGTATATTGTGCCATTTTAGGTCAGTCTATGCCTTCTGTGATAATAATTCTTACCTTTAATCTTTGTGAGTTCTTTGTTTATAAAATCCAAAGCATAGTATTGAACAAGGAGGTCTTTGTTGATGCTGTAAATTGGTGTCTTTAATGATGAGAAATCTGTTGAGTTAGTCAGCAACCACTTCTCCAATAATCTTACATTGGCATTATAACTGTAAGAATAGAAAAAAACATTAGAAAATATTTTCAGAAAGTCTTGAAAGACATTTTTGGGATGGTCATTAGCAAAAGAGACAGCTAAATATGCAAATTACAAATTGAGGATACCCAAATCAGACAATTGCAACAATTTAAATATCTGGGAAGTGTTTTAACAGAGGATGGAAATTGCAACACTGAAATCTGAATGGGCATTGGGAGAGCCAAAGATACTTTCCAAAAGATAAACAGAGTATTAAAAACAGAAAAACTTTGTTAGAAAAAAAAAAAAAAAAGTACTGAACTGTTACATGATATCTGTCCTCCTATATGACAGTGAATGCTGGACATTCTCCTTAAAGATGAAGAGACTTGAAGCAACAGAAATGTGGTTCCACAGAAGATTGCTTAGGATAACATGGACTTAATATCTGAGCAACAACAAAGGTTTAGGGAAAATGGCAATTAAAAAGGAGGAAAGAGGGCTTGGAAAGTCTGATACTCACAGGACAGACTGAAGTAGGACAGAGAAAAACAATGTGTAACCTACTTAGTGAGCTTGAGTAAATGGATGGCAGAACAAGTTTAGGAGAAATAACAAGACAAAATTTATTAAGAGCTACAAAGGACAGGAAATCGTGGAGAGCCATGATTGCTTTCATCCTGAAGAAACACAGCACATAAGAAAGAGGATGGAAAGTGAAAGGGATAGCTCAATATGCAAATTACAAAGTGTTGCAATGAAATCCAAAGAGGCTCTCCAAAAGCTAAAGTGAGTACTAAGAAATATGAAAATTTCCATAGAAAGAAGGAAAAGAGTACTAAACTGCTATGTGATATCTGTCTTCCTGCAGGGCAGTGAGTGGTGGACAATCCCCTCAAAGATGAAGAGGAGACTTGAAGTAACAGCAAATGTGGTTCTACAGAAGGATGCTGAGGATAACCTGGACCAGATATATGATGAATGACAAAGATTTAGTGAAAATGGAAAAGAAACTAATACTTAACATCAGAAAGATACAGTTGCAGTTTCTGGGGTATATAATGAGGAAGGAGGGCTTGGAAAATTTGATACTCAGGGGACATATAGATGGCAAGAGGAAAACGACGCATAACATATTTAGTGAGCTTGAGTAAACGGATGTCAGAACGGGGCTTAGGAGAAATATCAAGAAGACAAAATTTATTAAGAGCTACAAAGGACAGGAAATTGTGGAGAGCCATGATTGCCTTCATTCTGAAGGGATACAGCATATAAAAAAGAAAAAAAATACAGTTTTATTAGAGATTTAAAAATGGACAAATTTACATTGTGGTGGTGGCTGGCCACTCATATCTGAGTATGCCTGTCTTTTCTAGATGTCTGCTCAGGCACATTTACATTTGTTCAACACCCACAGAGCCTATCTGCAGTTTATACTATGACTATGTTGAGCAGACCTTAGTTACAATTTCTGGAAAAGAGCATGTTATCTGGTGTGATCAAGAGTCTGAACAAGGCCAGTACACTCAAACCCTCGGTCACAATGACTTGCAACTTTGTGCTACATTAATATATACACAAATAGCTTAAAACGAAAAGGGAGGAGAGCAAGGACAAGCAAAAAAAAATATTACTCACCATAAAGTGGTGAAACAAAAAAAATAATGGGTGGGGGAGATATCCAGTTATAACTCTGTGAACTTCAGAGTTCAACCAAGGACAGTTGACTCGTTATTTTTAAGGCAACATTTTACTAGTATTAATTCTAGGACAACGTTCTTGAGAGGCAGGTTTTATCTTTGGTCCCTGCAGAAAATAAACATTTTCATACAAATGTCCATTTAAAACACCAAAAAAAAATAAAAAATAAAAACAAAAATAAGCTAACCTATTCTGTACCAAATTATTTTGTAGGTTATTCCAGTTGAGCATGAGTTTCCGAAGGATATAAAAATAATTGGATCCCATTGTTCCGTTACTGTTTCTGTCGATTTGGAAGACTGGAGGATGAGTAATGACTGCTAGAAGCAGTTTTTGGAATTGTTCCATTTCTTTGAGAATTGAAAGGTGGCTGCTTGGTAAGATGCTGGGATAACTGCTGGCATGTGACACGGATGTCAGCTTTAAGAAGAAAAAAAAGAAAATAACATCACAGACAATTTATTTCAAATGCAGTTAATTTTCATTTTCATTTTTCAAAACAATATATCATTATTAAACATTGGGTTATATAGATGAGTGTCCTCATCTTGGTTGTTATTATCATCATCTTGCTGTTATGGTCCAGTTCCTTGTACCACGGTGATAGTCGAAGGTAGAACCAATAAAGAAGAACTCGAAGGTGGATATGAAATAACACAGATATATTACAAGCAGGAATATATACAGAAAGGTAGAAAAGGGTTAGTACGAACAATCAGGTTTAGTAGTAATTGTCTGAATGCAACTCTGTTTCGGACTGTCTCTGACTCGACTGACTGACAGACTCCTGACGGACTTCGCTCCAGACTTCAGACGGAAAACTCTCTGCTTCCTCTTGAGGTGCAGTATTTATTACGTATGGAATAGTCCATTATGTTATTATGGGTAAGGTCCCATAACACATGCTTTAGCCATTATACCTTTGGCTTTCTTCCGATGTTATAGAATTCCAAGAATTTTGAGTTGAACCCTTTCTTCACTCCAGAGAGAAGATTTTTCCCATTCTGCTGTCCAATTGAAGATTTTATCTTATGTGTCTTGTAGGAATCGAGTTATATAGTGCTTGTTAGTCAGGTAATGGAAAAAAGTCATACATTCTAGTTAAGTGGAAAAACAAATATCACAAGGATGAATTGACTTGAAGAAATGAAAAGATATTGTCTAGCATGCACAGAGGATTGGGGACAGTCTATCCTTATAGATTGAATAAAGTGTTTAGCTTGAAATTCCTGGAAGTCTAATAATACTAGATAAGTTTTCCATGAGGTTTTGTTGACCTATGTCTTTCCATGTATTTTTTTAAACATTGGGTATTTACAATGAATAATGACAGTGGAATGAGAACAGTCTATCTTTGTAGATTAAATAAAGTGTTTAGTTTCAGTTGAAGTCTCTAGATTTAGTTATTGTTTACATTTGTTGTAAATGTTCTGCTTCAATTTTAATTTTTTAGCTTTTATAAATGTTAATTTCTCCATTCTCCTGTGTTCTGTGAAACTGGTGCTTTGTCACAGTAACATTGTCAGAATTAAAATCAAATTTGCAGACTTTGACACAAAGTATATACCCTATATTAAAAAATACCATATATACTTATGTATAAGCAAAGTTTATGTATAGTGCAACCCCTAAATATTTCGTATGAATTTTAACCCCTCCAGAAAAAAAATTTATTTGTGTATAGTGCAACCTGACACTGAAAATACATTATTTTTAACCTCTTAAAAATAATTACCTGACTTCAGAGAAACCTTACTAAACAAAACATTATCCAACATACAAGGCCCTAAGCTTTGGACTAAGAAAAAAAATGTAAATTATGACATCAGACACCTGAAGATGGTTGGAGAGTAAAATAGTCAAAATATTAAACACAGAGTAAGGTTTGGTTTGTTTATATCAATATCTCAATGGGTTATTTAATGCCAACAAGATTTTTTATTACTGATAATATTTTTTTTCAAAAAGTATTTCTGGTAATATTTCTTCCAAAAATGCATTGCTGGTAATAATGTATTTTTATTCAAAAATTATTTGTTGGTAATAATTTTTTACAAATCTGTATTGCTGGTATTAAAACGTATTTTTACATGTTTTGACCCCAGTTTGGGGTTAACTATTTGCTGGGACTCAAACAGGTGCTACCACCCAGGGTCAGGATCTGGGAACACCAGCAATTAAGAAGTGGTTCCACGCTCCTCAAAACCTTCTGACCACAGACCTTACTGTTGGATGTAGTTTATTGTCTTACCCAGGACATGAATGTAGTTTATCATCAAACCCAAGACGAATCAGAGTAATGGAATGTCTAAAACAATACTCTTGATTTGTTATAATCTTAGTGACAATGATCTGTGGATTTAGCATATTTTTACTTGTAAGCAATCTTCAGACCATCAAAATGGTTTTCAAGCATGAAACAGATTATCACACTTCAATGTTGACTTCAGTAAACATTTATATGTATCATCCTAGATATCAGCATATAAACAAAACTTTGTAATTTAACATGTCAAAGTGAATAGAATTTTGGCACTGAGTGCTCAATAGATAATTATTACCGCACTTAAATACTGATAAAAAGCAATAAATAAAATGTTCATGATACTTATCTGTGACAGACTAAAAGTTTCATGATGTTATAGTTCAACAGAGTTAGATAAGAATGTTGTATTAATTTTTTTTTTAAGCTGAATAAGTCCTGAATGAAGTAAAGGTCATCTTTAAAAAAAAGCAGAAAACTAGATAAATTTTTTTGGATCAACAAAGTGGTGAATCAAAAAAGGGGTCGGTGGGTGGATAGCTAACTGGTTATCACTCCTTGCATGTCAGAGCACAATTTTATTAGTATCCGTTCTAGGACAAAGTGCTTGTGGAACAGGTTTTATCTTTGGTTCCTGCATAAAATAAACACTGCCACACATTGCCAACTTTTAATGTATTTTAAATGTTATTACTTTTCTTCATTTGAAGCTGTGTGTGTTTATATTTGCGTTGCATGCATGAATTTTTTCTTTTTATGTGGGTGTGTATGTTTGTATGTGTTGGTGCACCTCAACTGGGGACTGATTTCATTGCGCATTGAACTGTGATAATAATCTATTTATATAAAACAGAGGATGTCTGTGTGATAACTTTTCACTAGAGATCCATCCAACCGATTTTGACCAAACTTGGCAATATATTGTACAATGTAAGAGATAGGTTCTTAGAGTAAAAAAAAACAAAAAAAAACAATAATTTTTAAAAAGTCAATTGATAAAGCCGGTCAAAAATTGATAGATTCAACTTTCTTCCTCTGATTTCATTCAAACTCGGTATGTAGGTTACTTATGTCATGACGAGCTCAACAATACCTCATTTTTATTTCTATGACACAGTGTTTAGTGAAAAAACATGAAAAATGAAAAATCGATTTCAACACAAATTTTAAACTAAAAACTCCCTCAATATTCAAGCAATCTAATACAAACTACACTTAATTGTAGCCAACAATAAGTTGATTGTTTAACAGTCAACTAACTTGATAATTGAGTCTACCCATATAGTGAAAACCTACATAAATAGTGAAAAATGGCCATTTTTACTGGTTTCTCTCTTATTTTTCATTGATCTTTCAACCAATTTTCATTAAACTTAACAATTGCTTTATAAATGTATCCTCTTTTACATCCCTGGTAGCACACTGAGAAACTGGATTTCAAAAACTCCAAAATAATTGTAGTCTGAAGTGGGTCTTTATTTTGCCTGTTTTACCCCATCATGTCCTCAGCTAACTTCAATTAAATAAATACAGACTACTTTTGTTATATCAGTAACTGCATTAATTCAAAATGTTTTTTTTTAATGAAAGAACTTTAAAGTAATGGAAGAGAGACTGTTATATCTAAACATGATGCTGTTTTTGCTCCATTCTAATTGAACACTTTTTCTGATTGACCAGCTGGTGTAGCTGCTAGTAATAAATAAATAAAAACAAAAATGTCTAAAAAATACTTTTGGTTTGTTATAATCTTCGTTACAATTATTTTGAAAACCTGTGGACTTTATTAGCAACATAAATTAACTCTTTTGCACAATATAACTTATGAAAAAATGTTCTCAAAGGAAAATAAAAAAACAGTCAACCCCTTTAAATCATAAAAATTTTCAAACTTTTTTAGAGGAAGAAACAGAGGATGACAAGACTTCATAGAGAACTTATTTAACACAAAATTATCCAACTTTAAGCTTTGGACTAAAAAAAAAAAAAAAAAGATTAAAAAAAGGTTAATTATGACATCAAATCTGTGAAGCTCACTGAGCCTATAAAATGAGGGTTCAAAATATTAAAGAAAAGAAAATTTTAAAGGACCAATTAAAAAATACTTTTGAATTGTTATAATCTTGGTAATAATTATTTTGAAACTCGTGGACTTAACACATTTTTATATGGATTTTTCAATCTTGATTATAAAGAGATCATATAAAGAAAGAAAAAAACAGTCAAAAAGAAAGAAAGAAAGAAAAAAACATATTTTTTTTTGATTGATTAATTCATTAAAAACAGTATCAATTTCCTCTTATTATGGAAAAGTTTAAATTAGAACTCCATTAAAAAGCGTTTGCTTTTAAGAGGCGGTTTACGGAAACAGTGGTATTTGGACAATTAAACTTAATGTCAGTCTTAGAAGAAAATTTGACCAAACAAGTTATTTTTTAAAAATCCCTTTGATTGAAAATGATAGACATTTTGATACCTGACTTAATAATACAATACCATGCCGTTTTTTTGGAAAATCATGTTTTTGTTTAAAAAAAAATGCAGAACAACTACATATTATTCTACTTCCCAGAAAAAGGAAAAGGCCATTTTATGCTTATCCTTCCATTCAGAATCTGTCTATAAAAGTTATCGGTCTAACCAGGAATACCACACAAACACGAAAATTTATATTATTTTGGACTATTGTTCTCATCTTTTTGCCATATTCAATTTTCAGCCATTTTAACCTTAGCCTTCTTCACCAAATTCTGCTGTTTACAAATTAAAATTCAGAAAAGGTATGATGGAGAACTAGAACAATCTACCTTAGTGGACAAAATAAGGGTTCAGTGTATATATATATATATATATATATACCTGAAGATTTCTAGTGTGTACCAACAAGCAGAAAATAATGTATATGATAACAAATTTTGAGGAAACAGTCCAAATAAAATAAATAATAAAAATAAAAAAAGAAAGAATATTTGTCATATTTAAACAATATGTTCAACATGCAGCTACAAACTGTAACACCTTCAAATATATTTAAAATATATATATATATACAAGTTATGCAATATATACTATATATATGTATATGTCCATTTTAAAAATACATAAATAAAAAATTAATTAACACTGGTTTAAATCTCCCCATGATGTCCATTTGTTGAAAAGGAAAAACCTGATGTTCCCAGTGACTATGGAATCATAGGCTGTGTGGGGCAGAATGTGGCTAAAAAAAATACCACTGCTTCTGAAAACACAGCAAATTGGGGAAGGAAAAACATTGCATAGGACCAACTATCACAAGGCAAGTGTCATCCTCAACTGCTGAGTTCAGCTTTTCCCATATATATATATATATATATAAGCATATATATAATAGATATTTATTTGACCAATTTTGCAGAGAGGCCTGTTTCTAGAAATAATAAGACAATTTTGTCTATTTATTTTGCTAATACTTTCATAAACCTGGATGATAACAGATATTGACAAATATATTGAAACGTGAAAGGAAATCACCATTTTGATGAATGTTTAAATGTGTTTGCCACAATATATTTTCTCTCTTCTTGAATCATGTTTTTAAATATAAAAAAAAATATGGAAAAATAATGTTTTTCCTCATGAAAATTTTCAAGCAATTCCTTTTGAAAATGTGGAATTCAATGTTTTTGAAATTTGTAAACCTTGCCCATTATAATCCTTTGGAACAAAACGAGAAGACAAGTCCAAAGATAATATCCCCTAAAACCACTGTCCATTTCAATTATAGGCATTTAAGAATATTTGTGGTGATTTTTTCATTTCTTTTTTTTTTTAATTTATTTAAATCACTAAAATCACTTACAGCATTAAAAAGTTCCTTGAAGCCATCAACATTATCCATCAGTTCTTTTAAGAGTTTTTGAAAATCAATTGGTGCATTCACAATGTTACAGATGAGATGATGAATTGCTGTAACACGACTTACAACAAAAGAAATTTCATCTCGTTCTGATAAGAAAATATTGGAAAAATTTGTTATGAGGACCTCAATCTATACACCAGGCATTTAGTTCAAGTTCAGTTGAGCCAACTGAAAAGAAATTTAAAAAAAAGTCAAGCATTAATAAAATAAACACAATGTATAAACAACACATACATTGGTTACACAACCACATTATCCTGTCAACTAACTTGTCATTTATCTAATAACAGTTCAATTAAATTTCATATAGCTAACCAGCAAAACAACAAATCCTAACCAATAAAAATAAAAATGCTGTATGACATAAACTGTAAAAAATTGCTACAAAAACTTGAAAGAAAAAAAAAATATCTGAGCAAATATTTCATTGAAAAACAAAACAGCAAAATAACCTGAAATATAGAGAAAATAAAAAAATCTTTATTAAAGAACTATTAGTTTTGAAGAAAAACACATGCAAAATTGTTTTTATTTTTTTTTAGTAAAAGACATTTGTTTTTTTTTTAAATTTTTTTTTTCAAAATAAGATGCAAACATTATTTCCATAATTTTCATAATTAAAACGACCATTTTCTATCGCATTTTTGTCTTTTTGACAGAAAAACGATTTTTGAAAAGATTATGACAACGACGAATGACGTTGGAAAATGAAAATGCCAAAATGGAAATTTTAGAGAAGAATAATTTTCCTAAAAATCAAAAATCTGAATTAAATCTTCAAAAAAGCCTGTATTTAAAGATTATGTACATATATATTTATAAGAAAAAATGCAAGAAATCATTATTGATGATTGCATTTAAAAAAACAGATTATAATTTTTTTGCATATAAATTTTAATGTTCATTTATATTAGAAAATAAAAATCCCTGACATTGAGCACGAGATTAGATATAGAATAACTATTAAAATAGAACTTTTATCAAAACACACACACACATATTATAATATAAAAGCTCAAACACTAATATTCCATGGTTATTATTACATTGGAATGAGATACCAAAGAGGGAAATTCATCACAACATCAGACCTATATATATATATATATATATATATATAAAAATATTATTCAGTAAAAAGGATCTCCTTTTTATGCAAGTTGAGGAAAGAAACAACTCAGATTGAAATTTTTTTCTTGTCTCATTTAAATACACATAGAGAACTACCAAACACTAACCATAACATGTTGATAATACAAATATAATAACATCATCCAAATAAAAAATTCTGGCGAAAAAAAAATTTCATTATCAATAAAAAAGAAAAAAACAAAATTCAATAATATCAACCATGAACATGACCACAATGTTCTGACTGTGTTTGGAAAATAAAACATTCCTATAACTCTAGATGCATACATAAAACAATTTATATATAAAATCATCCTTGATAATGGCTAAAAGTATAGTCGAAAGCACTCAGACATACAAAACATTTGGAAAAATTTTACTTAATTTATGTCCAGTTTGGAATAAATAAAACATAAGAAAAATTGAATAAAAAGATAAACACGGTAAGTTTCAATCTGTTTTAATGAAACTTGTATAAAAGAGAGATTGCTCCCCTAAAATACACACACACACACACACAGTACATATATATATATGTATATATATATATATATATATATATGTGTGTGTGTTTAACAATGTATGCAGAGGGCCTTTGATTAGGCCTTCATTACAATAGGTAGGGCAATAGATCAATAAGGGAACAATAAATAAAAAAACTCAAAAAAAGAAAATTTATTTAAGTATTCAAATTAAATGTATGTTTACCTTTTTAAAAGTTTAGCAATAATTCTTCTGTCACCACTTAATTTAAAGACAATTTGATGTGTGTAGCATTGTTCCTGTACAAACAATTATTTTTATTTCATGTTATTTATATATATATATATATAAATATATAAAACATATATATTTATATTATAAACACTGTAATTTGAGAACAATATTTTTTTCATTTGAATTTAAGGATTGAAGTTAGTGAGTTGTGTCAATGTTAATTGTTTTAATTTGTTTTTAATTTAAGAAAAACTATGGAATTTTAAACCAGTCTCATTTAAAATGTGGGAATTCAAAGAATTTTTTTCTAGATTTCTGACTTCCCTTTCAAAAGCACAAAATGTTTTTATTTTTTTTGACGGAGTCTGTCTGATTCCCAAATGGTATAGAGACATATGAGTTTAAGGAGTCTAAGTTGAAAAAGTTTAACAATTTACTTTTATATTTCTTTATAGATATATATATCATTTATATATATATATATATATATATATATATATAATTATATATATAAGTTCAGTATCAGAGATAGAGTTTTGTTGTGATTTTGAATATAAAATTGAAATTGAGGTTAAGAACGGTCCTAAATAGTCTGAGAATATTATTTGTTTGATCTCTGTAAAAAATAATTTTCTAGGCATGAAAACAACAATCCCTCAATGTTGATCTCAGTATATCTGTTATCTTTATCTATACTATATATCTATATATATATATATATATATATATATATATATATATATATATATATATATAATAATGGACTCTCCCGTCGGTTTTGACGTATGAGGATCTGACAGCTTATTGATTCAGTTATGAAATTTTGTGCGATAATCTTAAGTGGCATTTAAGACCCGCTAGTGATTTACAAAGGAGGCCACATATGGAGCAAGTGTGAGGATTGTGAGATGAGATCACTGTTAGATTGGCTGACCTTTTAGATCTTGCTCTCGCTTCTTGAAGATGATTCAGACAAGCAGATTGAAAATTGCTGAGTCCACTAAAACACGTTGATCTCCATTCTACCCGCTCCAAGGCTAAGCGCTCAAGGGTGTTATGTGGTATATTGACTGCTGACAAGTTGCTTTTCAGCTTGTCTTTGTATCTTAGCCATGGGCGTCCTACATTCCTGTAGCCCTGATCTAACTGGCTGTACATTAGGATCTTGGGTATCCTGTCATCAGACATTCTCAAGACATGACCAGTCCATCGTAACTGAGACTGTATGAGAAAAGTCTCGATTCCTCCAATATTACACCTGTTAAACAGGTCTATGTTAGATGTCCTATCTTGAAGATTAACTCCACAGATTGCACGCAGACAGCTTTTATGGAAAAATCTATCTATATGGTACCTATATATATATATATATATGGAGTCATAGATAAAGGATGGCAAGTACAACAGCTCTGTAAACCCAAATTTAAGAGATATCCAGTCAAATAGAGAGAGCTTATTCCATATATATGTATATATATAATGGCTCTATAGTTTTTTTAGAATGATTTTCCGATAGAATAAATTGAATGAACCAAAAAATACTATTCTTTAAAAGATTTTGCTCAATATGGAAATAGCAAATATAATTTAGATAAACATTTTTCTTCACCATGACTTGATACCGATTAGTTTGAAGATGAAAAAAACAAAATGGTTTATTTTTGTAAAATTTTTAAAACATATTTATGTTATTTTTGAATAAATTATATATAACATCCATTTAAAATACATAAAACATTTGTACTATTTATTTAAAAAAATGAAAAAGGCCAAGAAATTTCAGTTTATAATAAAGGCTCAATAATAACAAGAACAATAATTTTAATCGTCAAGAAATAAAATGTTTACAATACTTATCTGTGCCAGACTAAGTTTCATGATGTTATAGTTCAATGGGTCAGATAAGATTATTATATTATTGACAGGACATATATTTATAATTTGTTATTAAAATATCAAAGCATCCTAACAAGGATTTTTCATCTTTTACGAATTTTTCGTTTCTTCACTCTAAAGGAGATCCTGAAGATTTTAGCCCATACCATGATTCATTTATATCATCCTTCTTAAGAACCTAAAATATGCTGAAGACAGTGTTGATAGGAGAACCAGAAAAGGAAACTGTCCAGGATTTTCCTCCAGAATAGAAGAAAGAAATCTCATTAAGGTTCAGCAATAAAGCTATAAACAGATTGGTAGTATAAAATACTGAATTTTTTGTTTTGGTTATTTTTCAACAATAACATTGTTATTTTTTAACATTAAAATACTTCAAACCCCCTTTTCAGATGAGATTGAAATGGTTTTATGATGTCAACGAATATTTGAGAGACATTTTTCAGTATCTGTTAGACGTTGTCTACCTTTCAGTAATGTCGTTGTAATTATAAAAGCAATTCAGTTACAATTATATAAAACGCTGTTGAACAATACTAGTGTCAAACCCTTCAATCAAATAAACATGGCACTGATAGGACAATGCCTGAATAATGTTCGCATAGTATATTCTTTATATATGATCTGAAATAAATTAGTATTTTGTGAATAGAACAAACAATAGAATTCCGTATAATAATAGAGGATTTTAGGTTAGATGTCCATGTGCCCTATATATGCGTTTTCTCTATGGTCACGTGATCCACTTTATTCAATAATATTTACACAAGTTGCAGATGTCCATATGTTCAAACCAAAGGTGACAGCAGCGACACTTTATTCATATACAACATGACAAGCATTATTATAAAATCTTCTGTTTTTATGTCATTTAGTTCTTGGGAGTGTTCAGAACATACATTCAATATTGAACCATTATCTTCAACAGTGAAGAAAAAAAAAAATTCATTGACATTGGACAAGTAATATTATAACATTTTGTAACTTTATACATGTCACATGCAGTCATCTAATTGATATGGGAAATAATTTTGGAAAAAAGATTTTGATGTAAAGAACTTAAGATATCTTCTTGCATGTCTTTTTAAATTGGAGACTTATATGCAAAATTGTCACCATTTTGTTTTGACATTTTTTGGATAAAGTAATAAAAAAAAAAACGAAAATAAAATATTAAAAACAAAATGTTTATCTGAGGAAAAAATTTGCCATTTTCCAAAGAATGCCAGGAAATG